GCTAAATGGTCAACGAGCTAAGTATCGTAGCCTCAGGGTCCCTGGTGGAGTCGTGGGTTCCTGCACTGATGAAGAGTTCCAAAAGCTAGGACGAAACAGTCATCCAGGTGCTCCCAGTGCTAGTTTTCAATGGTCTCTATATCTCCCTCTGATGTCAGTTTGTGACAAAAATCTAACACTTGAAATTTCGTTACCGTTGGCAGTATTCAGAAAGCAGAGTTTTATGGAAAATATTATATCGAACACTGTAACATCAAATCATAGACAGCATATGAGATGTCAAAGTATGGGAATTTTCAAGATAGCATTAGTTTATCTACTAGGAAAGATAGAGTTACTGAGAAAATTAGTACACATGTACAGGTTCCTTGAAAAATAAAAACTATGATAAACATTTACCACACTTTCTAGAATAGCAACACCAACGATGGAAGGAGTTACTAAAGAAGACAGTAAATGACATTTACTTAAATGATTGATGAATTTCATGATATCCACTACCATATACCTAGTTGAGAGCATAAATTTCATTGATTTGCGAATTAAGCAACTTATAACGTTTACATCAAGAGTTACTCAGTTTGTAGGGATTTGATTTACTGCAGGTTTGATCACAGAATGATAACAGTTAAAGAACCATTGAAAACCGGTAGGGAGTACTGGATAGTCCGATTCCTGGTGCATTGTCATGGGTGCGCATTGCTGAAGAGTCCCAGACTAGAGCGAAACAACTGACTACCAGTCCCTAGTTCTCAGTGGTTCCTCTAACTGGTATTGCTGTGTGCTCAAACTTGAAAATCAAAAATATTTAATATCACTTTTTTAGATTTACTTATCATAAACCATTTGCATAAAACGGCAAGGTATAGATATCTATAATATATATATATATATATCATTGATATCAAAGGTTTTTGAAACATATACATGTGAATTTTTCCTATTTACCCTTGATATTTTATTTGACCGGAGTTAGCAAGTATCAGTTTTCTAGCCGAACTTATGTAAACAGAGAGCGAAAGGTCAAGATAAGTTTCAGTTTCTCAAAGTATACTATTATTACCTCTTGAAAAAAAATTTTTTGACGACTGAAGATAAGAATAAAGTTTTCAGGCAGTAAAAAGCACAACTAAACTAACAGTTAGTTGCTTGAGCAAAGTTGGTATTTCCAAACTAGATGAGACGTTACAGTAGACTTATTAAGTTAGATGGTCGGATGTAATTGGAAGGAAGCTTCCAGCCAGCTGATCTAGGTTTCTTGCTTGTTGGCACTCACTTACTGGTCAGCAAAGCATACCTACAATCTCCTGAGATTCAAATCTTTGGGTCACCCATCCAGTGCTACAGTTACAGAGGTTACGATCACTGAGTTGTCCAGGCTCGTTGACCGATATCTTGTAAGAGTTTAATGGATACTTTGATTGATTAATACTGCCCATAGATCGATCTAATTAGACTTTAGTATTTCATCCTGAAGTAACATCGGTTGGAGGACCGTTTCGTCCTAGCTTTGAACTCTTCATCAGTACCATCCACTGAGGTTCGAAACCAGGACCTTCTGGTTACAAGGCGAGCTCCCAGAGGACCATCCTTTAACTGATGTCAGTTCATTATGAAATCCAGAAACCAACCAAATCTCTGCAAACCAAAACTCGAATATCCATCTGATGCTCAGGTAGGTAGTTTCCTGGGTTCTAGTGGGAAGTCATGGCCAGTGGGGTACAGTAAGGTCGGGTGTGAGGACAAATACTCACCAGTGATGACATTCGCTAGTGGTCGCGCCATATCATGAATTGGCAGAAGTTGGAATTCATGGGTCATTGGATCGGGTCCCAGTGGCTTAATGGTCTATGAGCTAGCTCGCCTTGTAACCAGGAGGTCCTGTGTTCGAACCCCGGTGGAAGCGTAATGATGAAGAGTCCCAAACTAGGACAAAACAGCTGCCTAGTACTCACAGGTTTTCCAGTGGTTCTCTAACCTATGTCAGTTCATGACGAAATCCTAAGATCGATCAAATCCCTGCAAACCAACATTTGAATAACCACTTAGATTTATTAAGTATCAAAGTATACATAAAAGTAAGGCGGTTTATGGAATTATAAAACCACAGACAATGGGATATTCGAATCTTATTCTTACTCCTCTTTGATTCGATACATTAAACCGGTGAGGAGGTAATAAGCAGAATGCAACTTAAGGATCATAACGTGTCTTAATAGCATTGCTCATGTTAGTTTAAACCATACGGTAAGAAATATGAGATTAAATGTATGGTATTCAGTAACAAACGTAAATCAATCGATAGGGTTGAGAATCTTGACCGACTCAAGTCGTATGGATATCTTGCACATGCTGCGTCACAGTCTTTCTCAACGAGAAATTTTGGTTGAGTTAGGAGTATGTAAAGGGAGATTGAGTAGTGTTTGGTCCATAAAATCATCGACTCTGTTGGTATGAACCACACAGGAAGATATAGGTCAATAGCTGGAGATAAAACCTTGGCGATTTGACTCAAAATTGTTCACAATTAGGCAGATGTATTCTTATCCCTAAAGATATTGGAATTCTGAATTCTTTACTAGTTAAGTTTCAACAAGTTGTTCCCTCTCTCTCTAGTAGTATACTTCCTCGCTATTCTCTTCTATTTCAAGTGTGACTTATACAAGGGTGAGATAGAGTTTAGGAGAATAAACAGTTAAAACATGCAAGCATGAAACTTTTTGAGTAGACACCGAGCTGTAAATTCGTTTTTGATTATGATGTTCACGAGTGTACATTTAGATTTAACATTTTCAGGCAGTATATTTTCACACTTTACTTCAATACTTGTACCATCATAAAAAGTGTAATTCATTTTTATTAAAGGTGAATTATTTTTTTCTTCAACAAACGGTTTATATGTATATGGCTGATGAAAGTTAAGCCACAGAATGATAACATTACTTTAGTTGTAACTTTTTCGAGGTCGATTAACACATACATTTAAAATTGCCTGGTGGTCGAAAGTATTATTCATGTATTGTATTCATTGCATCTGTTGTTCGGATAGCACCAGCCAATATCAACAGGAGATGCTTGAAAGAGGTCACTTCTTTCAATTGTCTAGACAGTATCGTTTCAAATACAGACAGCCGACAAACGGATGAGGATGTCAAAGTCAGAGAGAATAGGAAAAACAAGACAGACCTTCATTACTCTGAAATCACTGCGGAAATCCGCCACACTCAGTGAGCATAAAAACAAGATTCTGATTTTCAGCAGTATTTGTCAAGTCAGTCAGTGCTCGCTCTTGTTATGGTTTAGACAGTTGACGAATGCATCAATAAAAGCATTTCCAACAAGCTAATACAGATTTTTATCAACAGATTTCCGCTTCTTAACATATGTGTAAAACTTGGGCACTGTGGTGGTAGTAAGTAATTCCATATTAGTTTGTTTATTAAATGTATCACACAGTGAAACAGTATTATTTACTGGATGACAAGGTTTCGAACACAATTTATCGTGGTTCATAACCATACACATCACCAATTATAATCACACGACTTCAAAACTTGAGTCTGATAGTTTTCTTTGTTCTCTCCTGTTTGTCGTCGTTGGGGTATTAGAATTTTCCAGATATCCGACTGGATAGGTGTTGAATCATTCCTACTACGTGTATTTGCAGTTGATTCGATAAACAAAGCTTCTGTTATCAATCTCCCCCTCCACCCTGTGACATTAGATTTTAAAACTGTCATCTTATCCCATCCAGCCTATTGTATGGTTGTGTGTAATTGCATGTAGTGAGTGCTATAGCTGAACTATTCTCTAGATTTCTTATCTTATTCGGGTCAACTAATCTAGATTTTGCTAGATTTTTATGCTCGGCTAGTCTGACTGACTGCCCCTGTTCTATTACTTTGACCTATGCATTTGACCTGATAATCACTGCAGGCAGGGTGTTAGATAAACTAAATTGTTTTGTTTTAAAGGCTCCACAGGATCTTTTAACCGACAAAGCTTGTTTCTCATTAAGTATGTGGGTTTGAATGCCACTTTTATTCCTGCCTTGTTAAGAATTCTGCGTAATGTTTCCGAGGCTACTTCCTTGTATGGAATTACTACTGATGATTCAGATTCCTTATTGCTGGTGTTGTCATTATCCTGCGCATGTTTGACATGCATGCCGTCATTATTATTATTATTATTATTATTATTATTATTATTATTATTATTATTAACACTGTCACTACTATTATTATTTATTTTATTTTTACATTTTCCTACATACTTTCTGACAAATTTATCAGAGTAACTACTAAGTTTCAAAGCTTCTCTTATATGCCTCACTTCCTGTCTTAGATTTTCCTTGGTACTAATTAGTTTTTGTGCTCTATCACTTAAACATTTCACCAACCCCATTTTTGTACTGACGTAGGATAGGATTATCGGAAATCCAAATATCTGTTTGAATGTGTGGGTTTCCTGTAAACACACTAATGTGTTTAACTTCCCATCTTCCTTCCTTTTTACACTACAATCTAACAGCTCCATACTGAACATTTGATGACCAGTTTTGAAAGGATTAGCAACAAGGAACTTTAGGAACGAACCAACAGAAACACCTACTTTGCTCAACGGATACTCCAAAGAAAATGGAGATGGATCGGACACACACTGAGGAGATCGTTGAGTGACGCGACATACGCCAGGCACATCCTCGAGTGGAATCCGGATGGGAAACAGCGAATTTAGCGTAATTTCGAGGGTAACATTGAGTATATCGTGTGTAGAAGAGGATATGAGAGTTTATGGGTAGTCGTGGAGCTGGCTAAAGAGGCTAAAGAAGAGAACTAGACAAAATGGAAATGTTCTGTTGAAGCCCTCCCTATATTCATTCCACTCAGAACCTTAGGGAATAATAATAAATTGGCCATCACTGGAAAAAAAACATATTATTTCTCTAATTATCACATGATAAGAATAAGATAATACCAAAAACAAAACTGAGATTTCATTCACTTACTATAAAGCAGATTGTTCAGTGCTGATGGCACATTATACCCAAGGATATTTGATGTTGGAATCCGAGCAGAGTTATGCGACATTTGTGGTTCACCGCCTTGTTCTGTAGGATTACGTCGCAATGCGGCATCTGATGAATGGATCTGGGACTGATTGTAAGCATAATCTTCAGGAAACAAACGTTGTTGATTCGACTGATATCTACTTTCTTCTTGTTGCATTTCAAGGCATGCTGTATACTTTGCTCCTAAAGCAGACAGAGAACGTAAGTGATCAACTGCCTCAGCTGTAGATATTAAAGAACCTGATGAAGCCTTGTTAGGTAAATGAGCTGGATGATGACTCCTTAATGATCCAGATATGATATCATTGAAATTAGGATCATTCGATTCAGATGATCGGGTGAAATCTTTCGGTGAATGTTGTGACTGATGAATAGAGTCAGAACGAGAACCGAAAGGCTGAACTCTGGTGCTTAAGTCTTTTGGATAGTAACTTTGGAGCATATCTCCATTCGGTTTATTTGAGAAGTCTCTTGTAGACTGTGAATTTCTCGTTTGGGGATTAAAATTATTGGTTATATGAGTCTGGTCTGACTTTCTAAGTTCATCTTCACGAGTAGATGAGAAACACATAGACTCACAGGACCACATTGGTGCATTTCGATGATAATTATTCGTTAGTGAATTATATACTGCTTGTGAAGAAGTATTTGAAATACTAGCAGATGTACTGCCTGGAACTGCTGTGTTCTTAGTACCACCATCTGACAGTGATATACCTGTTTGATTATATGCATTAAATGATTTTAAAGATGATAGGGCATGATAAGATGCTGCAGACAAATGAGGAGTTTCAGGATTTGAAATACTACTAGTCTCTTCAACACTAGGAGGTGTATCTACACTACCACTACCTGATGCCAGTGTTGCCATTGACGGCAGTTGGATCGAATGTGAATTTGCTTCATTCCTGTTAAAACAGTGGCGGTTATTCATAGAATCACAAGGTTGTTTGCCACCTGCAAAGTCAGAGAGATTAAGAGGTTGCCCTTCCGCATGATGTTGATGTTGATGATGATGCTGTTTTCTTGCCACAGCACGTTCTCCAATCTTTTGTACAATAACGCCTAAATCTTCCAACATTTCACCAATTGTATCTTGATTCATAAAATCTTTTTCATTATGTGAGCTATTTGTTCTATTATTGCTATTCTGTGTGTCGTTTTTCATATCATAATCCCTTCCTTTATGGTCTTCATGATCAGTTACAGTTCTACTCTGATTATACATAAATTGATGTGTCATGTTATTATTATTGTTATTATTATTATTATTAAAAGTAGTATTAGTAGGAGTATCGTCTTCACTTTCATTCAATTCATCCTCATTGGAATTTTGGGATATCCTACTCATATCTAGCCGATTTATTTCAGATGGACAATGAAATCTAGTTGAATAATAATTATAGCTGTTTAGAAACATTCCTGTATGTGTTGTACGCAAGTCATTCGGATGATTCGAAGTATGCATTACGCCTGCACGAGTATGATACTGTTCGGTAGTGCTAATGTCATTAGGAAAGCCAGTATGCATATCATCGGATATTTGTTCAATACAATATTCGCCTTGTGTACAACAACTATCCGCTCGACCTCTTTTCACCACACCATTAGTGCACATGTTTACTCCTCCTGAATTATGATGATGATAAACAGACTGATTATACTGATTATTCTTCGACATTGATACATCAGACGATGGTGGTTTTACATTCGATACCGGATGAGGAGGTGGAGGATGTTTACCGGATTTACCACGACCTCTACCTCTTCCAAATCCAGTACTTCTATAATAACCATAATGATTGATATACTTTTCTTTTTGTGAAGCATTCACTAGATGCGATGCCATAGATTCGGCTGCACCAGACTCCAAGGAGAATATACGTTGAAGGTAGGGTTGTAATTGTTGTTGCAATTTTGGACGCCTACCACGTCTTCTAGGCGGATTTGGAGCTGTTAAAGAAGAAGACTCAGATAACATTTGCTGTTCCAATAAATCAATCATGTATAATTCTTCTCGATTAAAAGGGCGAGTTGTATAAAAAGCTGCTCGTATAACGTGAAGTGGTTGGTCTAATAGGGCATCATTAACTTCATCGACTATTTCGTTAATCTGTGTACTTAACTTGTCTCCGATTACAAATGTTGGGAGTACAGATAAAACATGTGATTTCACCTTTTCAAATTCTTCATTAGATCCAGATAGTTCTGCACGTTGAAGTTCAGAAAGAATATTAGGTAAAAGTGATGTTAGACTTGATTCAGATGTTCCAGATTCTGCATTGACAGAATTAACTGAAGATGACGGTGGTAAGGTAGCTAGGCAAGATGACTGACTATTCTGACGATATGGAGAAACCTGGATAGTAGAGTTGAGGTTTGTGTTATTTGTAAAATTTTGCTCTGTACCTGAACGATTCATCTCCAAAGTCCCGTTACTAAATAAGTCTGGTAGGTCGGATTCTTTATCCAGGCTATCTAAAATTCCATTAATCTCCGCATCAAGAGGTCCAGGAATGTCAGGAGTACACGAGTCTAAAATATCAGCCATTCTGTGACGTACAGTTGAAACAGGTGTAGATGTTCGTGCTACGAAAGCTCTAGTATCATCATCACCACCACAGGATCCTCTGTAACCTTGTGTCTCTGACAGATATTGTGACGAATGCGTGGTTGATGGTATTCGATGAATAAGATCTTTAAAATTATAATCAAAATTTGCGTCTTTTGCATGATTTACTTGATAATGTTCATTTAAACTTGGTTTATCATAACAATTATACAAACATAGAGAACAATTAAAAGGCCTTTCACCAGTATGTTTACTATGATGAAGATTCAACGTCTCTTCAGTACAAAATCGTCGTTGACAATTAGGCCATTGACATTGATACTTCTTTTCAGAATCTAAAATGTATTAAAACAACACACAGTACATTGAAAAACTTTGTCTTCTTAAAAATGAAGGGTATTATACGCTAATAAATAATCAGTTTATAGAAAGACCTTTCAGAGGACTATAAAAACAGGTAATTATATAAATACATTTTCCTGAGACAGTGACAAAGGAAGTACTGAATATAAAGAACAACAAAGTTCAGCGAAGAGTCTCTTTTCAATGAATTCATTGACTTAGCTGTACATTACGACTTTCAAACAAAAATAAAATAAAATTAGTTAGGGTTACTGTTTACGTCATCATCCAATAAGCAAATTCATTATGCAAAAGTCAGCAATAGTATAAAGCTGTATGCATCAAAGACAGTCGATGGATGGATACTCAGTCAAAGGAATTAGGCATCCTGATCAATGGGACAACAATAAATTAAGTAAATTAATAGTTACCGTCGTTGCAGACATTGTTGACTAGGTGTACAAAACTATAGAAAATTAACTAACCAAGTGGATCATAGGTGCCTGAGTTCTATCTCCCTCCCGTGTGAAGTGGTATAATAAGGTGAGCAATATTGAGGTTAGGCGTCGAGTTCTAGGTAAGGAGGGGAAATCAATCGACGAGGCTGTGAAGCAGCTGCATCGACTGAGATGGTTAGGACATGTGTTACGTATGCCTAGTCATCGCCTTCCTCGACAATGGGCAATGTTAGCTGATATAGGGTCAGGCTGGAAAAGAGCTAGCGGTGGTCAAACCAAAACATGGCACCAGTCAATGAAATTTACAACAGTTTGTCTAAGCCACGTAGGAAGGCGCAGACTTCCCGACTGGTTGGGGTCCTCGGGACGGTAAAAACCAATGAAGGCTGGAAACAATTGGTGATATGGCTCAAAATCGTTCTCAATGACAGTGCAGATGCATCCACTTATGAAACTATATCGTTCTTCGTTATTACTATTCCTTTGTCTCACCTCTGTTTACTGTCTATATTATGCATTTCTTCTACTTTCTTCTCTTGCTTTTTGTGCTACATGGAGTGTGGCGACTTGAACTGCCGCACATATGTGCAAAGTTCTATGTCGAAAACAGACAGAATCAAGTGGATAAAATCAGGAGCTTTAGTAAAGGATAAATTTTAGCCTCAGAGTAACCACAATCGTTATCTTACCACTAGTTGGATAAGCATTTTGCTAGGTAAGACATATAAACGGAATAAAATTATTCAAGATACCCATAAGAAACATTTAATTAAATTTTTGAAGCCTTGTATTAGTTGTAGCACATTTCTAACCAATCATAACCTCAAGAATAGACATCGTCAGCAAAACATGAAATTTCTACTACTACTACTACTGCAGACAATTGATGAAGTGGATTTGCAGAGTAATAGCTCTCTTCTCCTTTGACCTTGTCTATAACCTAACACATGCCATGTGTTCTCTAAGTTGCAGTATTCTAAGTATAACAGTGAACAAAAACTGTAGTAATCTCAACTTTAAGGTGAAATTACAATATATCTAGGACTGGCTATTGGCTCGCTAATATATACAGACCAGGACCACTGACAGAAAATAAAAGAAACTAGCTACTTTGTTTTTTCTTGTGCCTTGAAGTTTCTTTAGTGAGTGGATTGATTTTCCAGGGTAGGGACGCTAGCCTCACGCGCAACCTTCCCTCCTTTCCTGGGCTTAGGACTGGCTAGTAAAATAGCAAACTAGGCCAAAAAGAATAAGCAGCAAGAAACAATGGAAGCGAAACAAACAGGGACCTGCTGTTCAACAAATATGCCGAGGAAAATGAATACGGACCGGACACACGCTGAGACTGTTGGATGACATTCCGCGTCAGGCAAATCCTAGAGTGGAAACCGATTGGGAAACGACCACTTGGGCGTCCAAAGGTGACATGAAGGAGATGAAGGCCTATGAGCAACCGTGGAGCCAGCTGAAGAGGACTGCGGAGAATAGGACAAAATGGAGATGTTCTGTAGAATCCCTATGTTTTACTCGGACCCCCAGGGAATAATAATAGTTAGATTGCTTTAGGCTCAGTAAAAATGAATATCTAGCTAGTACTTCTTAGTTTATTACATGTTGTACGTTTGTGATGGGAGTGAACACTGCATCTAACATCTATGACAACAGTAGGAAGAAGTTTGGGGTTCTTAAATCGAAAGTTGGTTGATAGCCCCAAAAGGCACATTTAAAACTGCACCAAATACTATCCCAGTTAATTTAATCGAAAATGTCTACTCTAATACTAATTGCAACTTTTACAAATGAAAGCGTTTTCAAAAGGAACTTTACGTTGTGTGACATCTAAAAAGCATCGATCTAGGTGGTTTACCACTAGTGTGGAAGGTAACAAGTGCTAAATGGGAAAGGAATTGGTTTGATGCATATCGTATCAACCCAACTTCTGTGAGTGGTGATATAAGCATACTGGATTGATCACAAGCTGACATCAGTTAGACAACCATTGGAAAATCTGGAAGTACTGGGCAGCTCTGTGTCATCCTAGTCTGGGACTCTTCAGCAGAAAGTGTCTGTCCAGCTAGTGATCAATCCTGCAACCAATCAAATTCCTGCGAACCAACACTTGATAAATAAGCATACTATCATCGTGAAGTGAGACCACTATAGTGTCTGCATACAAAAAACTTGTAGAAATTCAACTGTAATAATAAAAAAAATAGGGAAACCTGTTGCTTCTTCACTTCATGGGGTCATACAAAGGAAGTGACGAACTAACTTCTAAAGAATAGCTTCCATTTATGCTAGTGACGCATTCATTGCTAGACCTTCTCTGTAGGTGTTTGAGACTTTCTATGCTTATCACAGGTGAATAGCTTTAATTAGTGACACAGGGAATGCTCTCAGTTAGTCGGAAGGATACAGAGAGAAAATGACTAACAAATGGAGAATAAAATATTGCACTGCTTATTAGTGCACAGATTTGTGATAAAACCTGTTTAAACTTCATTCATTTCTTTAAAAATCTAACAGCAGATTTCCTTTCACAACTCCACATAACTATCATTTTTCTCTACCTAGTGTATTCTGTAGAGCTCTAGTGCAACCATGGCTCTGTCCCGTTATGCGACAATACGAAATAAGTTACACGCATCATGCATAATGCAGTGAGTCTGGATCCAGGGCCAACTTTTGAACGGCAAATATTCATCAATTATTTTAGAAACTAATTATAATAGTGTGGGAAAGAATGTTTCCAGAGACCACCTTCGAACCCCATAGCTTCAACCACTACCACAACCCACATGAACTTTAAAAAGGAGACAGTTCGATATACGACACACCTTAAAAGCCTAATGCTTGTTGGATTTTATCATTACCAAGAATTATTATCAGTAACACTCCATAATAACACTTGCACTACTCCACAGGATTCCAATTAACAGTCAATAACTTCACAGACTGATACTATCTCTTGGCTTCGCTACTCTTAGCAGTGAATAGGAATTCGTAACACACGATTTGCTTACCTCAAGTAAAAAAATCTCATTGGATTACACTGCGATCACAAAATATGAAGTAGAAAAAAAGTACAGTAATAAACACAATATGAGAGGAGGGAAAACAAATGAGAAGAAGTGAACATGTTCATGAATCAATGTCTTTTGCACTGCGAAGAAACGTTACATCGCCGATAATTGTAAATTACTGGTTCCTAACATCTCGAAGACACCAACCAGGTGCATTTACCGGTTTAATCGGCAAACTCTTAACCTATTCAGTCTTGACGTTCACCAGTCATACAACTTATTTCGAATGACTAAACTATGATGACACACAGTCAAAAACAATAAAGAGTGAATACCTCTATGACACTGAATGATTTCGAATTAAGTCAAAGTCTTTAGTCATTAACTTCACAGCTTCCTATAATATTTTAGGTCAATCTATGTGTGAGTCTATCACCAGGTATGAGCAAGCTCCAGAAGTACTTACAAAATATGTTGACTTTAAAGGCGATCCAAATAATACACTAAATTTCTGTTAATCCTCTAGTCTACAACAGTAAATACATATGGTATATGACAATATCTGAAAGTCCCAAGTGTGACAAAATTGCAGAGTTTGGGAAACGAATCTGAGGCCTGACGATATTTGGTCATCCAAACTAATGCCAACTAGTTACTACGACAAACTTATCTTTGGGTAAATTTAAAATCCCCAGAGTGCATTCAGAAAAAGATGGTTTTGAGCGAACAGTTGTTTTTGATATCTTCTTCCTCAGGCTCTACAGTTTTAAATCCATGAATATTAGAATATAGTGATAGACAGTAAAGGCAAGTGAGAATTATATCAGGAACTCTATTGGGGTACATGTATAAGATGGAATGACTATTAGTAAATACCGTCAATTGAATGTGTATTAAATGTAGTCATTCAGAACATAAGATGAAGTGTGAGTAGACAACCAGATGACATATTTTCATGTTATATTATGCCTTTCTTATTCTTTTTCACCTAGTTTACTTCGTTCCATTATTATTCTTACTGTCTGTCAATCTTTATAATTTACACAGCTTGTTCTGTCTCCAGTACTTCATTACGATCCACAGTTTAGCCTCTGTTTTATCATTATACTTGATATTTGGCAGGCTTTGAGCCTACATTCAGTGTTCCCCATTTGTTGGTACTTTGTTGTAATCATATTTCTCACACCACTGAATATGACTCACTGCCCCTAAATGAAACATATTCTGTTAAATATAAATACATTCGTATGTCACTCGGTTGTCTATTCACACTTCATCTTATGTTCTGAATGACTGCATTTTATGTACTTTCAACTGACAATATTAACTAACTATCATTCCATCTCATATATGTACCGCAGTATAGCTTCTGATATAATTCTCACTTGCCATTACTGGCTATTACTATACTCTGATATTCATGGATTTTAATTGTAAAGGCTGAGGAAGAAGTTATCAAAAACAACTGTTCGCTCACAGCCAACTTGTTCTGATTAAACTTATTTTATTTATTTATTTATTATGTACTAGGAGACATGCATGGGCGGTGGTCCGTGAAACTACTCTGTTGGCCAAGCCAAACACAGTAGAACAACATATTTTAACGTTGGATCCTTTAGTTGAAAGTTAACTGCTTAACCCAGTGAGTTAAGTAATAACAAAAGAATTCAAAGAATTAGGAATGTGGATGCACTAATCACGCATTCACTAATGAATTACAAAACGATAGTGAATCATCAACTATATGAATATTTGTGAACTAGAAAATGAATTACAACTCTCATGGGAAGATCAGTGTTATTACATAGGCATTTCTACTATGGAAAACAAATCGTGGTTGCAAACCGTAAAAGCTGAGTAACAAAATCATTCAGCTCCGCCAGAAACCTACGAACCATCACACGTTTTGCACACCGACAACCACTGAATTGTTAAAATTAGAGCAACTTTCAGCTAACCAATTTTGAATACTGGATAGAACTGCTCTTGTAGAGGAATAACCGTGGTAGCACATTAAAATACTAATATATAAGACGACATTCGAGGCATTGAAATGATGCATAACTATAAATCCCAGCAACAACCTTCACCATATAGTACAAAACACAAATGCGAATATGGTACATTGACAAAAATAGCGCGTTAGGGTTCGCAATGTACAGGTCCTTACTTAAGCAGTAAGTAAGATGGAGTGTTTAAAAGAAAACAGAATAAACGCCTTGAAATAACAGTCTACTTTAATTCCACGTTAAATTGTCTTAATCGGTAAAACGATTTAGAGTGGTGAGAAAACAGGTATTCAAACCGACCTAGCACAAAAGTGAATTATAGACGAATAACAGCTGTACACACTAGGCAACAAGATGATTGACAACAATTGTGTATAGTATTGTCAGAGCTGATGATCTAGTGTCTGAAATGAGATACTTAATAATTCACAAATAAGAGGGTTAAACAGGTCGTCGTATGGTTGACAGTGACAACTAACGAAAAAAAGCAAGTAAACGCTAGTGCACCTACTACCGTTCGCAGCCTTAACTAACTAGTCATTTGGCGTTTTCACTATGTAGCAGTCCGTTTTTTTTGACGACCTAGTAGAATAAATCAACAATTAAACGGTAGCCAATGAAGTGTTTTAATAAAAGCTCTTACCATCATGTGTGGCGATATGACGCTTTAAGTGGGTTTTCCGGTGAAAGATTAGATCACATTGTCCTACAGGACAAGCATAGTTTTTGGGATGCATTCTGTGAAACTCATCTCGGTGGTTTTTGAGATATTTCGGGGTACGGAATGCCCGATCACAACCATCTATGTCACACACATAAGGCTTCCGAGGGTTGTGTACATCTGCGTGATACTTCAAACGCAACTTTGTCTTGAATACTCTGCCACACTCACTACACCGATAGGTGTTATACTGAGTTACAATACAGTCGTGATCCCGAAGAAGATCCTCATTTGTAAAAGATCGAGTGCAGCCTTCACAGCGATATTCTTGACAGCTATCAACAGTGTGCATTGATTCTATATGCTTAAATAAGTTCTTGCCATACTGTGTAGAATAAGGACACTGATCACACTGGTGTCGTTTAATACTTTGATTTAAGTGCTTTTTCATATGGCTTCGAAGGGAAGACCGGTTTGCATAAACAACATGACAAACTTCACAAACGCAAGCTTGATTGTCTCCAACTTCATTGTAACATACATCAGTCGAATGAATTAAATTAGATGAATTAAGAGATTGACCATATGTGTATGTGGATGGAATTTCACTAGACTTACATGATAAAGAATTTGATGAATGTGCATATACAGATACATCTGGTATTTCATGTTGCGAAATCGGTCCAGAAACATTTGTGCTTGTTCCCAAAATGGTATTTGGTGGGGAAAGATTATGTTTAGAAGTAATGGATGTGCCCAGGGAAGCGGAACTACTGCAAGGGGTAGGGGAGTCAGCAGCAGAAAACTGGTGAGAACGGTATTCAGGAGGTGTTAGACTGCTATCCATCAGCTCAGAAGGTCCACTTGACTTTCCATGAATAGAAAGTGAACCATTATTAGGTGTATTATCCGGTGGCACGTTTGTGGCATATATTCCTGGAATAGGATGCTGATCTATTATCTGAACTGGAGAATGGGTATGATGTTTTATAGGAGTAGCATATCTATCAAGTTGCTTTAAGCGCTCCTTTAGTATTGGATTGTCAGCCAGCCGCTTATCATCATCGCTTGAGTCATCCTCAATGTCTGTGGAGGTATCTGACTCTGAATCCGACTCATAATCCTGAACATTTTTGAGTGGCTTCTGAACAAGAGTCGAGTTTGTACCTTCGGCAATATTTCCCACAATTTGTGAAGGAACGACACCAGAAGTTGCAATGCTTGACATTTTCGGGGAGATTAATCAATTTTACCTATATCCGCTCAGTGAGGCAACATGGGCAGGTCGGTAAATCCATAAGAGAGCTACGAATAAATAAGGTATTTATTGACATGTGAAAAGTGTTGAAAGTAGGGTCGAGAACTCAACAAATCTACAATAGCTCCGCTATAAACGATTGACCTTGTCAACGACCCCTTCAATATCCAATGGCCTACTTGCAAGTTAGTATAAATCCAGTTGATATTTTGAATACATTTTCCGGTCATTTAAGTGAAAACCCCTGGCCTTAAGTGAATTTCTGCTTATCTAGAAGATAAAGAGAACTTGGTTAAATTATGAGGGAAGTTTAGTGTATTTACTTCATAGCTGTGTTGACTGGAATCAGTATTTTCACCAGTAATTCGTTCGGCAGGGTTATAAAAACTGAAATAAGGCCGATGAATTTACCAGCAGTCAAAAGGTTTCCAAGAAGATTAAGGAGAATCCAATAAACAGATAGATGAATGCAAAAAAAAAACAAAGCGAACGTAAAGGTGGAAAGCAAGGTGTAATATTGGTGGGGATACTGCCATTGGAATTAAGTTGGTAGCAGTTGCCATTTGAAGTGAATGCTGGAACTTTGGCTCAGTCTGGTCATGCTGGTAGTACTTTACTACTGGGAGATTATCTAGCTCCTGTATTAAGCTTCCATTTGAGGCTGTACTGTGTAGGGCGATGAGCTCCACGACTGCAAGTCCTAGAATAAAGGACCAGGATGTCCCTAGGATTTTAGTCTCTTCATATGATATCCTTCGTGACTATCCACCTCACACTTCCAATAACGTATATATTTGCAATGTTTGATGTAAACCATATTGGTCTTACCATGGAAACAATGATGTTTTCGATTAAAATATGGCTTTGCTGAAACATTGGTGCCCAGGTAGGTAAGATAAAAAGAGTATCACAGTACTTCGAATAAAAATGATCGCAAAGTACTTGAGTGATATTTCAGTGAGAAGTGGCTTCAAATGTCTGAAAGGTTAGAACCTGTGGGACTTGCTAACCTATAAGATGTCTCACGAATTTCTGTAGGGCCTATGGGGTAATATCTTGACGAACAAGCTGAACAAGCTTGTAGATGGTAGGAGCAAGAGTAGTTTTAGATCTGTACAACACTTATTGTTTTTTGGTAGCGATACACGCCCATGTTTCATTCTCGAGCTGTCAAAAATGCATGTTCCTACCCTACAGATTGGAGCGATTCACATTTGTGACCACCACCACATCTGCTTATCAGCATACACCACCCTGCCTCCTTTCTGATGTTAAGCTTTGAGATTTTCCGCAGTAACTGTAGTTGTGGCGTCGGACTTCTTTGAGCTCATCTCAATCATACAGTGTGCTGCACATTAATGGCTTTCATGACAAATGCTTCCCATTAGGGCAACGGACACATCGATACCAGAGGACATTCTTGGCAGTATCACCTTAATACATGTATACATGTTTATAAGTAGTTATTACAGTTGACCGGGAAATTAAGATTCCCATGAAAATCATAAAGTGTAGGAGCAGTTAGTCCCATGGCTACCAAGTTATGGTCTATTTAGCAGAGTGAAATGAGTAGCGGAACTATAATTGATAAAATTATGTCAAATGATCCTGAGTAAAACACCTGGTTAGCAGAACTTGTTATGCTAAATTTTCGTCACCGATTTTCATGTGGTATGCGTCAGACATTGTAAAGTAACTCTTCAACTCATGTTATGTTAAAAATAGTAAGAAATGCTATAAAATTACATATTTTACAGAAGTATATGAAAAAGGTAGCTATTGACTGAGTAAAGTCAGCTAAGCACAAAAGTAGCAGATTGTATTATTAACTGTGTATATATGTAAAATATTAAAATGCGTGGTTTCGATAGTTACTTATACCAACACAACTTGGTGAAGATTATAGAGGATAGAAAGTAAGGAAATTAGTTAAACGTTGGCTGTGTAAGTAGTAGAGTCGAGTTATACGTACGTGACTATACTGAAGAATAGACTGGTTTTCAATTTCCGTTCTAACGACAGTTGTGGTCTTTTAGACGAGCTAGGGCGGACATGTTAGTGTGTCTTTCTAGGCTCCGTTTGAACCCATAAGAGTTTTCAAAATAACTAACTTACGATGGTAGTTGGTTCCAAACAGTTCAATATTTAATGGTGAAAAAGTTTGCCCTAATGGATTTTCTGTGGTTAGTCACCTTGAGAAAATAGTCGTGGTTTCGCTGCTTATATGAATAAGTATTTGCTGACGTCATGGATGAGTCACTGTAACAATGTTTCCCAATGACTTTGAAGAGTAGAAATAAGTTTTATTTCACTTTCCTTAACCACAGAGATTACAATTTCAGTCATACACAACTGTCAACATATTCTACTTGCTGGTCAAACCCCATTACGCGTTTCATGAGGAATCTCTGATTACTTTCGGCTTCCTTTCGGTCTGCAGACCCTAGGTTACCATATCGGAGAGAACAATATTCAACTTTGTGGTGAATACGTGTCTTATATGTAGCTAATTTTGCTTCTAGAGTGTAAAAGTCTCGCAGAACAAAGCCAGTGATTCGTTTACAGTCAGGTACTACCTTATTTACATGATCAGAAGGGGTTAAATCTGAATATGTTATCCCAAATTTCCTGACTATGTCCAGTCCTGAGGGGAGGTTACTGTACAAAAATAAACACACGCTTGGTTTCCAACGTCTAAAGTGGGCTATGCCGCGCTTGTCTGGGTTGAGAGTCAGTCGCCACGTTTGCTCCAAGCTGTTTAGGTCGTGGTGGATCTTACTTTCAACGCTCATGTCATCGTACCCACAATTATACACTATCTCGAGACCATGCGCAAAGAGGCGCAGCTTGCCATACTTGACCGCAAGCTGCGTTATCTGTGAATAAGGTGGATAGAATAGGGCTTGGAACGCTACCTTGTATTACACCGCTAGTTATTGGCTTAGGTGTAGACAGCTGATGGTTGATTTTGACTAATTGTTCTCTTTCCGTCACACAAGATGTTTTCCACGTGAGAAGTTTGTAGTGACCCGTTTTATTACTCATCATCGCAGTATACTTTCACTATGTAATTGTACTTTGATTTGTTTATTACTCTAAATCTTGCATGTTAACAATTGATACTTTTGTGCTCGCTCGATTTTTGAATTTTGATTGCTGCAATAATACACTATCGTATTCCTTCGCAAGTGCCTTTTGAATTACGTTGTGGACGTCGAGTAATCGCAACGTTAGGTCACAATTATAAACGCGAAGAAGTACTAAGCAGCACAACAAGCTTTCCAGTTATTCTTTAGGACTGGAGTTTTGTTAGGAGTCTGCTATTCGGGACTTGACCAAGGACTTTGCTAACGCTGAGAATTAAAGTCAGCACTCAATGCTCATTATCCACGCATTCTGTCATATGGTCGAGGGCGTTGATATGGCATATCCCCTGTTTGAAGTGGCGCCTCCAGCTTTACCTTGAGGACATTTGCGCGGTCTAGTTGATTTCAGTTTGGCTGGTTTGTTTCGTTTGATCTAGGTAGCTGCATTTGACGTGATTCTGGTTTTTATTTGGCTTGACCTGTGTTGATTTTGTTAAGAATAGTCGTCAAAGGCTGTCTCTAAGCTTGAAGGCAGTTATCGTGCATGAGGATGCCTGAGAATGTGTTTCATGTAAAAATTATAGGGTGCACCTAAAATCCTTGGTGTTAACTCCTGTTTGTGGCGTCTCAATGATTTCTGCAGAGCTTCGTTTTATCACTTGTGTCCATATTTGTCGTTCCACAGTTGCAACCAATAACTCTTTCACTAATTAATAATGGTTAATCATGTGAAATACCACGAACTCAGACACCCGTTAGCCTAATGACTGATGGCACATGTGTGCTTGCAACAACGAGCAACACAACTCCCACAAAATATGGAAGTGAGTCACACAGCTTGCCAATACACCGTAAGCGTCGAACTGCTACGTCACTACCATCTACTGTGGCTGGAACTGACGGCAAAAGTATGCTGACAACTAGTAGTAGCACCGCTTCTACGAACTCAGCACCTGGCCCTGACATAGACCTCTTCACTTCACCTTATGCACGGCACGTGGCACACAGAACTTCAGACACCAAGTCCAGCTTCAACACTTACTTCAGAAATAGAACGACTAAAGCTGTATGTAGAAGAGCTGAAGACTGAGATGCGGGATATAAGGTGTAGTAAGGCTATGAATGCAGGATGTTCAGGAAATTTGGCCAGCATATCTGAACCATCAACAAAGACTGGTGACATGAAATCAAAGATTTGTGAACTTACACCTCTGAGCATCCTGACCAGAGCCATAAACTCCGGCGAACTTGACACATAATCGGTAACCAAGGTAGACATCCTAATCAGCTTCATCACAACAGTGATGAATCGACCTCGGCCCCATTGGATGCAGTAAAACAATCCAACATGACCTAATTTAGTTTTCGTATCCACAATCAAATTTTCTTCCCATTATAAAATTACAATTAGACTGCTGGAAAAATCGGAATAAATATATCAATGATCTCAACATTATACTTCAACGAACATTAACTCAAGGATGCTGTTCACAACAAAGTTACATAGGAGAATTGACTTCAAGCTTTATTTTTCCCAGATATTTGTATTACATTCATCTGATGTCTGGGCTTTTTGTTAATGCGAAGACAATATTTCTATATCTCTTTATATGTTACACAGACAGACTATTTTGCAGACTGTTCCGAAGACTGCAATGTCAGAAAGAACAAACAGACCGTAAATTCAACATACATCGAAATATGTGTAATTTATATAAAAACTTATCCATGCCTGTACAATTGGTATGTTCCTGCATAAACAGGAATAAATAAATATTACTATTATATATTACAATATGCCAAGTCACACTAAAGCCCACACTTATGGCTGGAGGAGCAACACTATCACGCAAAATGGTACAAGTGGCAACTCTCAGAGCTCAG